TGATGCAGAATGCATTTCTCCATTCTATGCGTCTTTAGAATTTAAAATTTAAACTGTATCTTTAAAATTTGAGACATATAATTTTTTTAATATCTCTTTGTATCACTCTATAGATTATAATAATTTGTAATAATTATTTTTATATTAAATAAAGTTCTTGAAAATAGCGCGATAACAATTTTTTTATTTTTAAGTATTTTTTAAAATCTCTACATATATTTCTCTAAAAAAAACGACATTCTTGTTTTATTTTAAATAAAATTGCCTTTCTGTTATAATTTAATATTAAATCTTCATTTCATAACTTTCTCTTTCGTGGTCTGGACAATTTTCTCATTTGTCCAACAATTCTCTAGACGTCTCCTTTATTGTTGTATTTGCTCGAGAAATTCGTGAAATCTTTAAAGTAGATAAATTATTCTTTGTTATTAATTTCTCGTGGTCTAAAGTCAGTCTATCGGCAAATTCCAGCTTTTTGTAAATCGATGACAATGATTGACGCCCCTTTTGACATTGATAAATATTTTAGTCTTCCCAATTGGCTGAATTATAAAGCTGTCTTTTGTTGCGGATTCTACGCCGCTCGATTTCGCAGTCGAATTCCTAAGCAAAAATCTGTCTTTTCTGAACAACTCTTACGAAAAAAAACCTACAAGTATACGAAAAAGTTATAACAATAATATATTATTGAAGAACTACTGTTATATGAGTAATTTTTATAATATCTAAGATAAACAAAATAATATAATAAAATAAGAAATATAACAAATAAAATAACTAAATTAAAAAAGAAAAGAAACGAAATAAAATAATAACAAAATATATAACTAATGTATAATAAAATAAACAAATATATAGAATATGGCGTTTCTCGACATTTTTGTTGAAGAAAAATCGTTTCCAAATAACAAGATCTACATTTATATAATTTACCTTTTATGCCAGACACCCTATATATATATATGTGTGTGTGTGTGTGTTTGTGTAGGATATATATATATATATATATATATATATATATATATATATAGGGTGTCTGACATAAAAGGTTTTACATTAAATATATGTATATTATATTTGATGTGAAACCTTTATTTATATGTATATATGCATATATATATATATATATATATATATATATATATATATATATATATTGTAACGTCCCGCGTTATTGGATTAAAAAAACAGCGCGACTTCCGATTTGGTTTGACGCCCGTCGAACTACGCAAACGTATTATATAATCACAGCGTTATTTTGTGTAATTTAATGTCAATTATATTATTCGTTATTGTTTCATTGTATTGGATTTTAACATTAAAGTTTATGCTTTCATTTCGTGAGTTTATTCGTACCGAACGCGTGTGAGAGAATGAGTGAGTGCGGATTTTTTTTGCGAACCGTTCGAGAAATCTGGATGCTCGTACGGGATCAACGAGAGGAAACGAGCAGCAGGATGTCGACGGTACATTCACCAAGAAAAACACAAACTCCGGCGGCGAACTTGACAGAAATGAATCCGTTGCGGACAATTCTTCAGGATAGGACAGATGAGAGAGAAGCAGAAGATAGAGTGAAAGCTGATGCAACAGGAGCTTTTTCGTCAGAAAAATGAAACGTTACACCGATTAGAGCAGGAAATCGCCCAGATAAGTCGCTCTAATAATATTGCGAATACCGAAAACGAGCGTATTGTGAATGTCGAGAATGAGCGTATGAATTCAGCAAACACAGTATATAAATGTTATATACTCAAGCATGTTACATGTAACGTATATGTTAGTTGTAATTTCTCACTCATAGATGTAACATTTTTAATATTACATATATTACATTGTAGTTATATTGTCATTATATCCCAAGATAGCACTGACTTATCAATACATCAATGTGCTATTTGGTATATAATTACAATATAACTACAATGTAATATATGGTATATTAAAATGTTACATCTATGAGTGGGAAATTACAACTAACATGGATGTTACATGTAACGTACACGTTATATTACCTGTTATATTCCGTTTTATTATAGCAATGTAACAATTATATATCGGTGTTTGCTGGGTGTGTGAAAATTATTATTAATAAGGTAGTAAATAATTTAAGAATTATTTTGGCGAAGATACTTTTAATTTATAGGTTTTCTACTTTAAATTTATAAACTGGACAAATGCCGAGGTGAAGATTTAGGGATCCTTCGAGATGAGGGACCACGGAACAATTCCTCTCCCCCCCCCCCTGTCTAAAGAATTTAAGAATGCACGAAAAAAAAAAACGTTTTTCAGGTAAACGTTCCCAGCAAACACAATATATAAATGTTATATACTTAAGCATGTTACATGTAACGTATATGTCAGTTGTAATTTCCCACTCATAGATGTAACATTTTTAATATTACATATATTACATTGTAGTTATATTGTCATTATATCCCAAGATAGCACTGACTTATCAATACATCAATGTGCTATTTGGTATATAATTACAATATAACTACAATGTAATATATGTTATATTAAAATGCTACATCTATGAGTGGGAAATTACCATACAACTAACATGAATGTTACATGTAACGTACACGTTATATTACCTGTTATATTCCGTTTTATTGTAGCAATGTAACAATTATATATCGGTGTTTGCTGGATTCATTACGGACTACAACGACCCTGGTTTCTTCAAAAGTGTTAAGACTTCCTAGATTTAACATCTTGTAAACTGGCCATTTCCTGGATGGTGTCAATTGAACAAACACTCGGAAAGAACACACCAAAAATATACAAATAGATCTTGTTATTTGAAGATGATTTTTCCTCAGCAAAAATATTAAAGCATCAATAATTTTGAGTTATAAGCGTTTCAAAATTAAGAATTCGCTGTAAACTAAGCCTTGTGAAAATAAAATATTTAAAAATCCACATTCTCCAATAATTTTCAAATAGAGTTTTTTTTAATAAAATTTTAATTTAAGGTTTTCTTATAAAAATATATGATAGCAAAAATTGGAAACATTCAAAAAATGATGGCGTCCCTCGAGATTTTTGTTCAAGAAAAATCGTTTTCAAATAACAAGATCTACTACACTTGTATAATTTCGATGTGACATCTTATGTATAACACCCTGTATATATTTATTAAACTTGTTTTCTTATCCTTTTTTCATTGATCTTATCTCTTATTATATATCTTTGGTGTATTTACGACGCATCAAAAAAAATCGTATACCCTTATTATAAACTATTACAATAATTCGAAAATATTCTCTTCTACTTATTATTTTTATATGTAATTAAATATTTTTTTAATGTGCAATTTCAATGTTTTATGTAACTTTAGCAAAAAGAAACTCATAAGACGAGAATATTTTCATTCAGTTGTATTGTTATACGATCAGATCTGTGGAAGGGTAGAGGGTAAAATGCATTGTATAGGAATAGGAAATATTCAACCGTTTCCAGACTTTTGGGACACTCTGTATATGTATATACGTACAGGATGTCCTAAACATATTTCAACTGTATATTTGTCATTTTGAACGAAATCCTAAGACTTAAAAGGTCTACAAAAGAAAGGAAACTCCTCAGGTAGTACAGTAATTCGTTTTAGAAACGTTTCATAACCAGCTCTCAGAAACGTTTATCAATTGGATAAAATTTCCACTCAAAAACGTTTAAGAAACCGTTTATTTTAAAGTTTGTTTTAAATCGCATATTGAGCAATAATTTTTGCAATGCTGTAAAATATTTTTTGCAACGTTAATATAACATTTATGAAATATTGCACAATATTTCTTATTTTTCATTTTCTTCATTTATTTGTCCAGTTTTTAAATAATCAATTTAATCTGTTGAGATTGTATCAAAATAATTAAAGTGATAAAAATGATTGATTGTAATAGTTACTTTTTGCATGCTTTATATTTTTATATAATTCTCTGACTAAAACTTAATAGCGAGATAGATAGCTCAGTTTGCGGCGCATAGCGGTAAATAAAGGAACTATGTGATTGCATTATAATATAGCAATAAAATTTTGCAATGTCTTCTATAAAATATTAACTTATAATATTTGCATAATATTGTTGCAATATTTCTAATGTAGCTCAATATTGAAATATTTATTTTATTGCAATATTTTAGCAATATTTCGTGCCGTGGGGATATAAGTTAAACGTGAAAAAAATGTTTCTTAAATTAAACGGTTAAAAAATTTAGGAAACATTTCTGAAACGTACACCTGCTACCTGGGTCGGAAAATGACAATCTGTCGAGTCTATTGCACTCATTCAGGTATGTGTATAAAAATAGATCGTTAGAATAAGACTCTAAAGGTTCTTTGCTCAACAAGGCAACAGAGGCAATAATAGGAACAGGGAATAAAAAGTTTCCAACAATTGGAAAAGAGAATAGATATTATTTTCTGATTTATTTGATGTATTTATTATATTTTATGTCTTAGTTTGTTTTATTTATTTTTAATTTTTTTCCATATTTCTATTGCTTATTGCTTGGCATTGTGTAAGGGCTTTTAACAAAAAATCGAAGAGTTTGATTTGGTCTGACAATTTGGCTCCAAAACATAACAGCAGTCAAAAGATCGCTTTTATATACAGGGTGTCCAAAAAATCGCCTACTCCGAAAATAAGTTAAAAAAATAAAAAAAAATTATAATTTAAAAAAATTAAAAATAAAAATTAAAAATTAAAAATTAAATAAAAATAACAAATAAAAATTAAAAAACAAAAGTTTTTAATTTTAGAAATAATTAAGAAAGAGAAATGCCAAGCGGATTCTAAATTACAATTTTTGAACATAAAAGTAGCTATAACTCGGAAACGGCTTATTTTCAGACCTAAAAATAAATTTATTAATAATAATAGTAATAATAATAATATTAATAATAATAATAATAATAGGAAATAATAATAATAATAATAATAATAATAATAATAATAATAATAATAATAATAAAGAATAAAGGTAGCCAAGAGTCGCGAATAGCATCGATTTTATTCCAAAGCAAATGCTATAAATTGTACTAACTAGTTCTTTTACACATGTATAAATACTGAATACAATACTCGTCTCTTCTATATTGCACGTGAAATTTAAACGAAATTGCAGAAGAGTTTTTGACACTTTGTTTCTTTCTCCGTCCCTTTCTCTATATCTTAACTCAAATGTATTTACAAAGAAAAGAGGAAATGCCATGCGATTTTTTACGAAAAGGTCTTTGGTTGAATATTCAATTCATGTTATCGGTTGTCAGCGCAAGGGTTGTAAGCACCGATCGCCGAATTCGATTCACTCCTAGATTCTCCCAATTTATCCAAGACAAGCGTGCTGTCAGATCTGGAACAATTATCGCAATATTTAATACCTTGAGAAATCATAATACATATTATGCAATTTTTATAAACTGACACGTTGCGAGATTCATGATATTAATTAATTTTATTTTATTTTATTAATTTAATTTTATATGTACATATTTAATTTTCTAAATAAATGCACGTTGTAACTCGTTTTCGATAAATTTGTACAAAAACTTACTTATAGAGGATTCAATCCTGAGTAACAAACGCTCGAAATTAGGCTGCGCTCTCTTATAATTCCTGAGATATTTTAAATTATAGATGTATAGCTAAAACTAATATCGAGAATTGTTGATAGTGCCTTAGAATGTTACACAAGTTTAAGAAATGAGTAGAACATATATTTTATTCGTCGTAAAAAATCATATATATTGTATATATATGTCCGGAAAATAAGTGTACTGAGCTCGGGAAAAAAAATTTATTGTACTAATATTCCTCAAAATAGGTCCCTTGTGAATCGATACACTTGTCCCAGCGGCGTTCCCATTCCTGGAACGCTCTCGCGAAGGCATCATCGGGGACCTCTCGAAGACACGTCGTCACGGCCTCTTTGACGGCGTCCAAAGTCCCGTAACGCGTTCCTTTCAAACTGTTTCGTACTTACAACGACGATCATAAGATAGCCAATCGTAAAATATAAGTATTAGTCGAAAATATGGTCTTACGCGATTCGCGGATAAAAATACGTGGGGATAGCCCCAAAATATAAATAGAGAAGCAAACGCTTCTCCGACTCATTTCTCAACATTTCTCTGTAATTACTTCTCGGCGAAAATATACATAAACCTGCGCGTGTATCGACAACAACCTTTTGTACTCAGACGAGCGGTATACTTGGACGCCGCTATAATAAATCCTTTACTACAAGGAGCGGAACATAATAATTATTCAGTGTGGATATTCCACACGGGTTTATATATCCTTCGTTACATCCTGCAATCAGAGGAGTGGCCTCACGGCTGGAACATCATCTCGCAATATAAAAAACGTTGGGTAGAGAACGCGCCGGCTTACAACCGGCGCATCAGTTCTCAAATTATTATTAAACATTTTGGTCCTTCGAGCCGGATTAATTTCCGGAGGCGTCGGACGTCTCGGAGGAGACGAAACCGACTCAAGTCTGAGTGCGGATCCACGGCGAGGGTGTCGGCTACGTACCAGGACGACAGCCAGTTTGGAGGACAGTGACCGGGCCTGCCGAGCTGCACGCAGGGAGAGACGATATTCGTCGGAGCGGCACCTCGAGGGGCGGCGTGGCGCCAGGCAGAGAAGAGGACACGTAACTGGGTAAGCGGTACTTAAGCCTGCACCAATTGTATTTTTTGCGCTGCGTAAGTGACCTATTTATTTATTTATTTGCAAATACTTGATTCGCGTCGGTCATTATAAACTGTTTGTAAATCGAAAAAAGAAAAAAATGCCGATCGACCGTAGCCCGGGTACAAGTAGCGCGAGTGCGTCGACGTTACATGTGACGGCATCAGAGATAGCGGCGCTGAAAAGAAGGCGCGGAATAATAAAGGGTTCGTGCACGCGGATAGAAACGTTCGTGAATAGCGTGAACGCGGTAGATGACGATGCACGAGCGCAATTGGAAGTAAGGCGCGCGCGCTTAGACCCAATATGGGAAGATTACTGCAAGGTGCAGTCGCAATTAGAGGCAATAGACGAGGCCGAAATAGAGGACAGAGTCGCGTTCGAAGACAACGTATATTCGTTGTGCGCGAGAATGCGGCAATTATTGCGAAATGACAGCGGGCAAAATAGTCCGCGGGCCTCCACGCCAGTATCAGCGCGGTCCGAGAGCGAGGCCGCAACATACGTCCGTTTACCAAAATTAAATTTACCATCTTTTTCCGGAAAGTACGAGGAATGGTTCCCGTTCCATGACACTTTTATTTCGGTCATACATAATAACAAAATATTATCTGACATACAAAAATTTCAATATTTACGGGCGTCGTTGACGGGTACAGCTCTCGACATCGTCAAAACATTAGAGATATCAAATAACAATTACGACCTTGCGTGGAATATTTTAAAAGAGCGTTATAATAATAAGCGTGTAATCGTGCAGACACACATAAAGGCGATATTCGATTTAACGGCGATTACGAAAGAAAGCGCGAGTGGCATTCGGCAGCTGGCGGACGGTGCGGCGGCACACGTGCGCGCGTTAACTGTATTGGACTGCAACGCCGACAAATGGGACGGGTTGCTAATACATATAATTACGTCCAAATTAGATCACGTAACATCTAGGGAGTGGCATTCCTCCCTGGGGGGCGTGGAGTTGCCCGCATTTAAAGAATTAATTAATTTTCTCGCCCATCGCAGTCAGATTTTAGAGGAGTCGGCTGGGGGGGGATCAAGCGCTTCCGAGCGCTCCGACATTCGTTCGCGGGCGCGATCGACTTCGGGACGGCGCGCGCTGCATGCAACGGTCGAGGGGGGAAGATGCACTTATTGCGGGGGTGCGCATTTGATATACTTTTGCAAGGGATTTCTAGCGCTTCCGGTAAATCGGCGCATAGGTGAGGTGCGCGGTCGAAAACTCTGTCTAAATTGCTTGCGTAGCCGTGATCACGTGGCGGCCGAGTGCTCGTCGAGCGGCTGCAGGACATGCAAGTTGAAGCATAACACTCTGCTACATCTCTCAAACCAGGGAAGGGGAATTGAGAATTCGCGGGCCGCCGGCTCAGCGGCGGACGGTTCGACTCCGATTACGGGCGACCCTGCCGTCGTGGTCGCGCACGGCGCGGTTGGGGGTGACGGCGCGGAGCCCTTACTGTCAACAGCGGTTGTTTACGTTTACGGCGCGGACGGTTCGCGGATCTCATGCCGTGCCTTGCTGGATGCAGGAGCACAGGCGAATTTTATTTCAAATAAATTCGTGGCGAAGTTGAGATTAAAAACATTGCCTACGGAATTGTCAATATCGGGCATATTCGGATCGACGTCCGTCTTAAATCGGATGGCGCGAGTCAGACTCCGGTCGCGACTGAGTTCGTTCGAGGCCGAGCTGGACTGCGTTGTCACCGACCGAATCGCGGATAGAGTTCCGGCGAGCACACTGAGGCGTCAGGCCTTCAGGCTGCCGCCCGGCATCGATCTAGCAGATCCGAAATTTAACATATCTTCCGACATCGATTTATTGATCGGGATCGATTTATTTTGGCGGCTGGCGTGCGTGGGGCAGATTCATGCGACATCCGAGCACCCTCTTTTACAAAAAACACGTCTAGGCTGGATTTTGGCCGGGCGTACGGGTGGGGGCACCTCACGATCGAGCGCCAAATTGCGTGCGTTACACGCGACGATTAATAACGCGCAGCTCCACGAACGAGTTGATCAATTTTGGAGGATCGAGGAATTAACGGATTCTAACTGTTATACCCGCGACGAGCAGGCTTGCGAAAGTCACTTCATGACGAACGTGTCGACGAACGATGAAGGCCGATATATCGTGAAATTGCCGCTAAAAGAGGACATATTTCAACGGCTCGGCGAATCGCGCGAAACAGCGATAAAGCGTTTTCTTGCGCTCGAGAAGCGGCTCAACCGCGACCCGGGTCTGAAGCGCTCCTACGCGAATTTCTTACGCGAATATCAATCGTTGGGGCACATGAGAGTCGCACCTGCAAGGACAATCGGGGGTAAACCTGTATATCTGCCGCATCACGGAGTAATAAAGGGGACCGGTCCATGCGCGAAGTTACGCGTGGTTTTCGATGCCTTGTGCAAAACCAGCACAGGAGTTTTGCTCAATGAGGCTTTGCGAATAGGTCCGGTGATTCAACAAGAATTGATAACAATATTAATGCGTTTTCGAACATTCGTATATGTCTTCGTGGCGGACATAATCAAAATGTATCGTCAGATACTGCTGCACGAATCGCAGACGCATCTGCACAGGATAGTGTGGCGAGAGGACTCGGAAGCGCCGATCGGCGAATACGAATTGCTGACGGTCACGTACGGTACGAGTTCGGCGTCGTTCCTGGCCACCAGGTGCCTTCAGCACCTGGCACAAAAACATGCGGACGAATTCGCGATCGGGTCGAGATGCGTGCTCCGGGATTTTTACGTCGACGACCTGCTCACCGGCGCTAACACCCTGCCGGAGGTGAGGCGCGTACGCGAGGAAACGGTTGCGCTACTGAAGCGCGGAAAGTTCGAGCTCGGCAGGTGGGCATCAAACTGCCGAGAATTATTGAAGGACGTGGAGGGCGCGACGGATGCGAGCGTGTCTCTGGGCGGGGACTCGAGCTCTAAGATCCTAGGAATTGCGTGGGATCCCGTTAACGATAGTTTTAAATTCGATTATGAGAGCGGATCGCCTGCCAATTGCATAACCAATCGAACGATTTTATCAGAGATCGCGAGCCTTTTCGATCCGTTGGGGCTACTGGGGCCATTGACGGTAGTAGCAAAATTAATTCTGCAAGACACATGGCAGACGCAGGTCGGATGGGATGAGTCGCTGCCGCAGGACATACATACGCATTGGCTGGGAATAAAACAGCAATTGACGAGTCTCGGTGAGTTACGCGTGCCGCGTTTCGTGGGCCGCGTGATCGATGCCGGGGGTGTGCAGCTGCACGGCTTTTGCGACGCGAGCGAGCGTGCCTATGGTGTGTGCGTGTACGTGAGAGCGTACAATTCCGGAGAATGCCAAGTGCGGTTGTTGGTCTCAAAATTGCGAGTCGCGCCTATGAGGGCAATATCATTACCGCGCTTAGAGCTGAGCGCGGCGCTACTGTTAGCAAAATTGATAGAAAAGGTTCGAGAATCGGTCGGACTTCTCGCCGCGGGGGTGGTTCTGTGGTCGGACTCCACCATTACATTGCAATGGATTCAGTCTTCGTCGCGAAAATGGAGCGCGTTTGTCGCGAATCGAGTCGGGGAGATACAGCGCTTGACCGAGGGCGCGGATTGGCGACACGTGCCGTCCGCGGACAACCCGGCCGATATATTATCGCGTGGCGCGGACTTGGCGGCTCTGGCTGTGTCTGGTCTATGGTGGGAAGGACCGGCGTACCTTCGACTTAACGAGGGACATTGGCCGATTAGAAACATCGAGATATCGGGAGAACTGCCCGAGCAGAAAAGAGTGATCGCTGCCGTGGCGGTCGGAGATCGACCGATAGTCTCGGGTTTATTGGAGAGATTTTCGAGCCTGGAGAAAATACTGCGAATAATATCATATTGTTTGAGATTCAGTCGTGCGCGACGGGCTGAGGAGATCGGGTCATCGATATCTCATCGGGAGATGACCGCGGCCATGCAAGTCGTGGTGCGTTGTGTGCAGCGCGGGTCGTTCCCGGGGGAATATCGCAGTTTGGGCGAGGGCCGGAGCATCGACGGCGGGAGTCGCATATTATCATTGTCACCGTTTATGGACGAGTGTGGCGTCATTCGCGTTGGAGGTAGAATAAGCAGGGCGGCGTTGCCGCCGGATGCGGTGCACCCCATGCTGCTGCCGAAAAGCCACGCTCTTACAACGCTAATTATTCGAGGAGAGCACGTTAGGAGCTTGCACGCGGGACTGCAGGCCACGATATGCGCAGTGCGTCAGCGCTATTGGCCCTTGGCGGCGCGTTCAGCGGTTCGCAAAGTGGTACGCGAATGCGTAGCGTGCTTCAGGTGTGGGCCGGCAGCATCTCAGGCGGTGATGGCGGATTTGCCTGGGCCACGGGTAAACGTATCAAGGCCATTCACGCATACGGGCGTGGACTATGCCGGCCCGATATTTATAAAAGAATCCAAGCGACGCAACGCCAGGATGCTAAAGGCTTACATCGCCGTTCTCGTGTGCTTCGCGACCAAGGCTGTACATTTGGAGGTCGTAAGCGATCTCACGGCGGACGCCTTCTTGGGGGCGTTTAAAAGATTTATGTCGCGAAGAGGCAGGCCGGCGTGCGTGTACTCCGACAATGGCACGACATTTGTCGGAGCCAATAGGCAAATTAGAGAAATATACGAGGTAATCAGTAGCTCTGAAGGGCAGGAAAACGTGCGTCAGTCCGCGCGGCGGAACGAGTTCGTTTGGAAGTTTATACCGCCCCATGCCCCACATTTCGGGGGACTATGGGAAGCAGCGGTGAAATCCGCGAAAATACATCTAAATCGCGTGGTCGGAAACGCGAACCTCACTTTTGAGGAAATGCAGACGGTCCTGTGCGAGATAGAGGCCGTACTAAATTCGCGACCATTAACAGCGCTAAGCGAGGATCCAAACGATCTCAACTGTATAACTCCGGGTCACTTTTTAATTGGTGCAGCGCTTAATAGCTTCCCAGTTACAGATTTAGCAGAGGAGAATCCGGGACGACTGTTGCGCTGGCAGCGCGTGGAGCAAATGCGCCAGCATTTTTGGAAACGCTGGAGTACCGAATATCTGCACACTCTCATCGAGCGGAGGAAGTGGAAGGCCAGCCAAGGACAGCAACTAAAAATTGGTCAGCTGGTATTAATTCAGCAGCCAGGACTAGGGCCATTGCAGTGGTTATTAGGCCGAGTTGAACGAGTACATCCGGGCGCTGATGGGGTTGTCCGAACGGCCACGCTAAAGACGGCACGAGGACAGGTCACAAGGCCCCTGACAAAACTGGCGATATTGCCAATAAATGACACGGACAAGCCTACGATCAATTAAATTATTTTATACGCGCGTTCTTCTATAATATATTGTGTTTGTCATGCATGTGACACGATGCGCGCCCTTTTATTTATTTTTTTTATATATTTATATGTCGTTTAACGTTGCGTTCCGTTTCTTTCTTTTACTTTTATTTTTTATTATTATTGTAAAATGCGCGCTATATTTATTTTATTATTATTTTATATCGTTTAGCGTTGCGTTTTTTGTCATTGTAAAGCCGTTTCGTTTTCTTTTAATCAAGCACTTCTTTCATTGCATGTGCTTGTTGAGTATCTGAATTTATATCACGCCGCTTGACACGTTCCCATTGTTAATTGTTGAACGAGGCTCTATAACGAAAATCTTCATTACGACATGAATTTCATAAATCGACTAGTTACGGCGCTTAATTTGAAGACAGGACCTTCAAGGGGGGCGGGATGTTTCGTACTTACAACGACGATCATAAGATAGCCAATCGTAAAATATAAGTATTAGTCGAAAATATGGTCTTACGCGATTCGCGGATAAAAATACGTGGGGATAGCCCCAAAATATAAATAGAGAAGCAAACGCTTCTCCGACTCACTTCTCAACATCTCTCTGTAATTACTTCTCGGCGAAAATATACATAAACCTGCGCGTGTATCGACAACAACCTTTTGTACTCAGACGAGCGGTATACTTGGACGCCGCTATAATAAATCCTTTACTGCAAGGAGCGGAACATAATAATTATTCCGTGTGGATATTCCACACGGGTTTATATATCCTTCGTTACATCCTGCAATCAGAGGAGCGGCCTCACGGCTGGGACATCATCTCGCAATATAAAAAACGTTGGGTAGAGAACGCGCCGGCTTACAACGGCGCATCAGTTCTCAAATTATTGGTAAACACAAACTCCTCTTTATCTTGGGGAACAGAAAGAAGTCCGGTGGTGCCAAGTCCGGGCTGTAGAGCGGGTGCGGCAGCGTTGCCACGCCGTGCTTGGTCAAGAACTCCGACACGACAAGCGCGGTGTGAGACGGCGCATTGTCGTGCTGCAGCCGCCAGATGTTTTTGATCTCTGGCCGGACGCGGGCGACTCGTTTTCGAAGCCTGTCGAGCACTTGGACGTAAAAGGCAGCATTCACAGTTTGTCCTTCAGGTACAAATTCGTGGTGGACGACTCCTCTTTTGTCAAAAAAGACAATGAGCATCGCCTTGATCCGAGATGTGCTCATGCGAGCTTTCTTTTGACGGGGTGATGCTGGGGTTTGCCACTCCGCACTTTGTCTCTTCGACTCCGGGTCGTACTCAAACACCCACGTCTCGTCACCCGAAACAACGTTCTCTAAAAAATTTGGATCATTTTTGCATCGATCCGCAAGTTGTGTCGCAATTTCCAAACGATTGAGTCTTTGATCATCACTGAGCACTTTTGGCACCAACTTTGCACAGATTTTTCGCATGCCTAATTGGTCCCTAATAATCTCGTGCACTATTGTTTTTGGCATATTACACTCCTCTGCTATCATCCGAACACTAAGACGACGATCAGAGTTCAGTTTATGGCGAATTTTTTGCACATTTTCGTCGGTGAGTGTCGTTGATGGGCGTCCAGGCCGTGGTTCGTCGTCTACCTCTTCTCTGCTCTCCACGAACATCTTGTGCCACCGAAAGATCATGTTTCTGGACATGGCTGACTCCCCGTAAGCCTGGTTAATCATACCGACAGTTTCGGTAGGCGATTTCCCAAGCTTTACCGCAAATTTGATGGAATAACGCTGCTCCAAAAACTTCGGCATCGCGTTCCGTGACGTGGGTCGAGCGTAGAGGTTCGCGTTAACGGAGCTCCTCACTACACCACAGCTCAGAGCCGGCTGCCGTTTTCAGCGTCGCTTGCCAACATACCCCCCTCCACTCCCAACCCGTCAGAGCGGTGCTGGGCGCGCCTGGAGCGGCGGGAAAAAATCAGTACACTTATTTTCCGGACAAACGTACAAGGTGTCCGGTAACTAACGGACCAACGATTACAAATGGATTCTTTGGTCAATTTGGAAACGATTTTTCCTCAGCGAAAATGTCGAAAAAGGTCATCATTTTTTCAACTTTCTAATATTTGTCATTATATATCTTTATAACTAAGCCTCAAATAAAAATTATATTATAATAAACTCTACTTAAATTTAACTGAAGAATGTAATTATGTTAGACTTTTAACTCCAAAACGTTTAGTTTTCAAAAAATTTATTTTTTTCAATCGCTTATAACTCGAAAATTATTGACTTCTCAACATTATTTGCTAAGGAAAATCGTCTCTAAATTGGCCAGAAATTCGCCCTTAATCATTGGTCCGTTAGTTACCGGACACCCTGTATATATCACCATATCATAAAAATGATATAAAATCGTATTAATTATAAGCACTAAATTATTATTTATATTTTTATTATAAAATTAATGCATGATCAGAAGAGGGAGTTTTCTGTTTTCCTGCATCGCCACTTTCAAAATTTTAACATATTTCTAATTTATTTTATATTTAAAATAAATAATTATATTTGAATTGAGTTAAATTTTTTTTAGATTGAGAAAGCAGAAAGAGATTCTCCCCTGCACACCTCTATTAATTTAGATATGCAAACGTGCAATTAATATAAAATTTATGTTCGATGAGACAATATTATTACTATTAACACTTGTTATATCGATTTTATTCATTAATAAATAAATTTTTGTTAATTAATAATTTTTGTAATAAATAATAGACAAGAATTGAAATTTTTTAAAAATTATATTCAGATTTTGTATATATCATAAAATTATCTTACTCAAAAATAAACTCTCTATGTCAACATGCTGTTTTTTTTTAAAGTTTATCATTTAAAAATTACAAATTTAAAAAAAAATTACAAAAAGTTTGTTAAATAATGTCTTCTTTGAAATAATTTTCTTGGAAACAATTGACGGCAAATACGTAGTTTATAAGACAGATAAAAACACATTTAATTCTATCGTTTTAATTCAATATTAAATAAAGAATCTTGTATAAATATTTATTTATCTATTTCATGTATAAATTATTAAGCTACAATTATTCAATATTACAACGCGGTCTTCTTCAGTATAATTATTAAAATACAAAATCATAAAAAAAATTTACATAATATCGAATTTAATTTTAGTTATTCATAGTCGAAAGTTTATGAGCAGTTAACGCGTGTTTTAATTCGTCATGTCCAACAATGTTCGCCTTGATATGATCTTTGATTTTAGTCAAAATTACTGAGATTTAAATCACTCTTTATTATGAGATGTAATCGTCATATTGGATCCGTTATTTCGGATTTTGTAATTTTGACATCAGATTCGGAATCAACTGTACTAAAACCCCCCTGGAAGTAATTATTCTTCTAAATTAAATGATTGCTTTCTGTCTATGCTTGGCCGCTAACGTCAGAGGGTGGTTTTTACCCTTAAACCCGCACCATTGCCGAAATAAAAAAATACGTTTCGATTAATTTTCAAATGTATATCAAGATACATTTTAAATGTATCTTACCCAGCATTGGAAGTTGAAAGCCAATCAGTGATTAAATCAGAGAAACTCCTATTATATATCTCGGCAGTTATAACAAATTTGTGAGGATAAATTGTTGCCATCCTTTTAATTGGCACGTAATGTGTACCTTTAAATTCAAGAAACTTAACGACCCATTTTGCTATTCTCGAGATATACATTTTAAATATATTTTACTCAGCACTGGAAGTTGAAGGGCAACCGATGCTTGAACGAGAAAAATTCCTGTTCCATACGTTGGCAGTTATAGCAGAATCTTGAGGATAAATTCTTGCCAACCTTTGATTTGGTAGGTAATGTGTACCGTTAAATGCACAAAAATAACGACCTATTTCGTTATTCTCGATCCATTGCGGCGTTGTTAATTCCAAAAATTCTAAAATACAAAGTGCAGCTTAAGATTATAATGTAAATTAGAATCTATTTTTTTTAATTGATTAGAAGCCGCACATATAAATGATATTTAAGTCTCGAATTGAGGTTTAATTCCAAATAACTCTTAGCATCGTATCAAACAAAATTCATGTGCACAACACAATTATTCAGTTACAGCAAAAAATTTATTTTGTTATTACTGACACACTATTATCTGCTTACACTCTTTTAATCAGTTAAATTCAAATTTCTATTCAATATATATATATATATATATAGATTTCAATTAATTAATGAAAGGCTCGTATAAATTAAACAAAATTAAACAATCATATATAGTAGGCCAACTAAACGAGCAAATAAATAAGATGTAAAAAATTTTTTTATTAATAGTTAAATCATTAAATTAACATTCCGTTACAGAATCGATATAAATTGTAAACGTTTCGACTGCACTACAGTCTTTATCAATACATAAAAATTAAATATTAAAATATAAAGTTAGATGTTAAAAATACAAAGTTAGTTAAATATTAAAATATAAAATTGAAACGATTCTTCGCTGTTGACCAATAGATATGCAAGGCGATTGGTCTGAGATGCCAAGTTATACGACATTTGAGCATGCTACGGATATAATACGCGAATTAAATCAATGTCAGAAAAAATTAAAAAATCTTTCAACTTACATTATCGTTTTAACAAGTCCTTTTCCCCGATATTTCAAGTGTGTGTTGCGAAGTCTGAATACCAAATGTCAAAATAGAGAGCGTGATGTATTTATTTATTACCAATGTTTTTTCTAAATTATGATTCAGCAAATTTTTTAAGTATGTCAAAATAACTACTGTCTAACAATTCGGTGTCTGTATTTAAATTAATTCCATTTTTCTGTTCTTTAATGTGGATCATTTCAGATATTAGTCTTTTTTGGTAATTCTTTTCATGATCCATAATTTTAATATTGTCCCAGTCAAATGTATGTTGTTCGTTTAGAATGTGTTCCGTGATAACCGAATGTCTAGCAGAGTCTAATTTAATATTATTTTTATGTTCTTTAAGTCTCGTTCCTAACTGTCTTTTTGTCTGTCCGACATATGTGGCGTCACAATCGTTGCAATTCAATTTGTAAATAACGTTAGAATTCGTGGGGCAATTATTTTTGTCCTTTTGAACTCTTATGAAGTCATTTAATTTTTTAATGCAACGATATCCTACCACTACGTCAGGTCTTCTTATTGCTGAAGCAACTTTCTCAGATATTGATTCTATATATGGTATGACAAAATATTTAATGTTAGTATTAGTATTATTAGTATCTGTTATATTGTTATTATTAGGCTTGTTAAATTTCTTAGTTGAGAGATTTTTTAATCTGCGTTTTATTTCTGTGAAAATTAGATCAAGAGGATAACCGTTGGATAGCAAAATGTTAATAGCTTTCTCTATATTTTTTTTGTGAAATTGCGGATGTGATAGTAATAAAGCTCTATCTACCAAGTTATAAATTGTTCCTATTTTATGACAAGTCGGATGATTTGAAAAAAATGAAAGTAATCTACCTGAGAATGTCTTTTTGTGATACCAATCTAAATAAATTTTGTTATCTATTACTTTGATCATTATGTCTAAAAAGCTTATACAACGATTATCCTCCTTTTCCAATGTAAATTGTAGTCTATCGTTATAATTGTTGAATTCGTTCAAAACATATGTAATATTGTCAGCGGAAGTGCATAAAATAATGTCGTCTACATAACGGAAATAGAAAGTCATTTCGCAATTTAAATTACTAATTACTGATGTTTCCAAGTCCTGCATGACTATATCGGCAATGATCGGAGAAAGTGGGGAACCCATAGGAGTCCCATAAATTTGTTTGTAAGTTATGTTATTAAAAGTGAAAAATGTAGAAGTTAATATAAATTTTATCATACCTATGAATTCATTTTTGGGAATCTTTGTGTGTGACTCTATAAAATGCCATCTATTATTGATACCGTTTAATGCAAGATCTACGGAAACATTAGTAAATAATGAAACAACGTCCAATGAAGCTATTATGTCGGTATCTTGTATTGTTTTCCCTGATAGAATGTTGCATATATCAAAACTGTTATTTACAAAACTGTCCGCTCTAGGAAGGCTATCTTTTAAAATTTTATGAAAGAAAGAAGCAATATTATATAGAGAAGTATTTATTGAGGAAACTATTAATCTAAAAGGAATATTTTCCTTGTGGATCTTGGGGAGCCCATAAGCTTTAGGAAGAAGAGAGTCGCTTGAAAATAAATAATAATATTCTTTTTTGTTGATGAAGTCTTTTTTCAACCATTTTTTTAAACAAATATTGAGGTCTTTTTCTATTTTTGTTGATGGATTGTTTTTAACTATGGTATACGTAGAATCGTCTTCTAGGAGACTCTCAACTTTTTTTATATAAAATTCTTTTTCTAGTGCGACTGTAATGCTGCCTTTATCTGCTCTGGTAAATAAAATATTAGGATTTTGATTGCAGAATTTAATTGTGTCTTTATGCATGTGAAATAATTTTTCTTGTATGTCCGTTTTTTTGTCGTTATTGTTTAAAAATAATGAAAATTGTGGAATGGCAGCATTACGAATCGAAGTAAGATTTCTGATCCCGTTAGAATTGCTTTCTATATCTTTGATGAATTCGTGTATAGCTACTTTTTTATTTAATTTAACTGGGAGACTAAATTCACCTCCCAATTGTAATAGATTGGTTACATTGGGGGGAATCTTTTTATCAGTTAAATTAATAAACCATTTCTGGTTAGTTTGTTGTAAAGGGTTATGTGTAGCATAACGAAAACTGTTGGCAGAAACAGTGTTATCAACGACAACAAACTTCGACAAATATTGTTGATAACACTGTTTCTGCCAACAGTTTTCGTTATGCTACACATAACC